CCTGATTTAGAAAAAAAGAAAAACACAATTTTGGAATAAGAATAACAAAAAGAGTAAAATAATGCAAAGGAAGAAACAACCACTTTTGTCAAACTCGAAAACACCACTGAGTTGTGTGTTGGGTTCTTTGTTAGGTTGCTTATCTGCCATTGATTTTCAGTAAAATCTACAAGTTCTTATATGTAAAAAAAAGTTAAATTGCATTGAATTACAATTACAGATTTTTATTTCACTGTGATGCTTGTTTTCAATTTGATATACATAAACTGTGCAAGCGCGCATATAACTTATAGCAATATGAATAACGATTACGAAGAAAAATATACCAAAGCCACAAAATAATTAACGTGTCATCCAAGCGAATGCAATGGATTAATACACACAACACTAGGCTTGCATAATTAAAAAATCAAAGTAAGCCATACCTATACCTCGTATAATTATCGCGCTATTACCTGTTGATCACAAGTATAGAGGTAACCCATGCATGAAAAGCAAGTGGATGTGAAGCATGGTAAAAACAATAATAATAATAGTGCATGGTATTTTAATGAAAGGGTACACAATTTTACTTCGAGATAACCGTGGTATTCTACATATCATAGGGGCGTCGATTGGGCTCTAGTTCTAAAACCTAAACTGAATTTCTTCTTTCTTTTTTTTTTGGAAAAATATCTATGGACCATTTAAAGAATTAGATAAGAGAAGCCTCACATTTGCAGAAGGGTATTTTTTCATTAATAATTCTCAAAACCGATGTTGTTTATCCTTGATCTCTATTTTTACTACATAATCGATCTTTTGTCATCTTCTCACCTTGATGGAAATGAGATGGTGTGTTTTTTTCCTGAAAATATCTATATTGTCCATGGAGAAGGGGTATTCTAACAATCTGTTGGAATTTTTAAGCAAATCTATTTTATATTCCTTTACAGCAGGCTTTATCAAAAAATTTCATACTAGAGGAAGAAAAAAATCTTATGGCCGTCACTACAACGTTAGGATACATAAGGGCCTGTGATAATACCTCAATTTGAGCATTCGATAAGCGGGCAAAAATATTCATCCCAAGTCGTCTAAAGGTCCAGAACAAAATTCCTTAGGTATAGGCTTATTGCTTATGAATAGTCATGTATTGATATTTTTTTAAAGAACTTTTATATCAAGTGTAAAACTATCTACGGCAAAAAGGTGCAATAAATTACAAATGTAAGTTTCTTGTGGATCTTTATAAATTAGTTTTCGAAATGAAATTAAATTTAACATTTTGTGCTTTGGGTTTTTAAAGTAATTGTGCAATAGAAATTCGTGTGTAGACATTGGTCAGTGAAGTTCAAACATTCAGCTGTTGCACTCCTCCTTGGCAATATAAAACTTTTGGTTTAGAATACTTATCATTCAGGAACACAAAACTAATTTTGAGCCTTTGAGATAGTTACCTTTCATGACGGTATAAAGAAGATTATAATAAAATACATAAATGTAAAAAAAAAAAAGTATGGAAATTTTGGGACGTATTCTGACTGGTCTATTCAAAAAGAGACACGTTGGTTCAAGAAAAGGGAACATGGTTTTAAGTCCCACTAACTGGTGGTTTGATATGACAAGGATTTGGACTTTGTTGGAAAAGATAATAAGATCATAAGTATGCCCTCCTATAGAATGTTCAAATTTGAGGTTTAATCATAGTTGTTAAAATTCAATGATGTCTACCTAACACATTTTATTTTTGGATTGAAAAATATTTTTACACTCGGACGTATAGGCAAATAAGCAAATATTAGATTTTAAACATGTTCAACGTCTTGCTAGTGTTTAAAGGTTTGTTTTCTGCTTTAGCATAGAAAATCTTTTTGTAATTATTGTTATGAAATTTTCAGATTGATTTATTTTTTAGTTCACCTCAGCCCAAGGCTCAAATGAGCTTTTCTAATTGCATTTTGTCCGTCGATTTGATGGGGAATCAAATTTATACCCAGAAATATATTGGAAAAATCTTTCAAAATCTCAAGAACCCCTGGGCCAGAAAAGCTGAAACATATGTGGAAGCTTCCTGGGGTAGTGTAGATTCTTAATTGTTCAAATCATGACCCCCGGGGTTGGGCGGGGCCACAATGGGGAATCAAAGTTTTACATAGAAATATATAGGAAAAAATCTTTACAAATCTTCCTCTCAAGAACCACTTGGCTAAAAAAGCCAAAACTTATGTTGAAGCTTTCTGGGATAGTGCAGATTTCAAATTGTTCAAATTGTGATCAGTTGGGTAGAGTGGAGTTACAATATGTATTACAAGGAGGTAATCTGGTAGAGAACGGCATGGAAAAAGCTTCTCAGGTGAGGGATGTGGCCCATGGGCCTCTTGTTATTGATTTATTATTTTATTCTGAAAAATTGAAAATCTTTAGTCATGTTAAAGTATTACTTTTTAACATTTGTCCGTTAAATTTGTAATTTTATCTCAAAATTTATTGTTTTCGAACTGTTTTCGATAGCTTACATTTTATTTTTTCTCCTAAAACCTAAGTATTTTTTAAACAAATTATATTTTTTCTTTATAAGTCAATGTACTTTGAGCAAATACATTCTAATTTAAAGTATACAGTGAAAGCGTTTGGGGTGTAATTTTCGTTGTTGTATAAGCATGGAGAGACCCACGAATTCATGGATACCAGAAATTTTAAATTCCAATATGAATCTCTAATAAAAATTTTCAAACCACGGAATCAAATCCCTACAAACTAATATTTTATCTTAAACTTCGAAAAAATTGACACAACAAAATGTGTGATTTTACAGTAGTCAGTTTTATTTAAATATGTTTCATATTTTTTCATGAATTTTCCTTTCGCTGAAAGATCATGAAGGCACCAATCTACAAAAAAAAAAAAAAGAACTTGTTAATTTTCATAAACTATTTTGCTGATTTGTTTATCAATTTAATGAAAATTTACCAAGAATTTTTGGTACTATTTATTTCTTTGAAATAAGCAACATTTTCGTACATTGTAGCATATGCACTTTTGTTTTTTTTTCACTTTGAAATGTTTTAAAGATATATTATATTAAGACTTATGTAAGTGCTGAAAAGTGTTTCTTTAAAAGTAGTAGGCTACAGGTGAATATAAGATTCTCTCTCTTTCTCTCTCTCTCTCTCTCTCTCTCTCTCTCTCTCTCTCTCTCTCTCTCTCTCTCTCTCTCTCTCTCTCTCTCTCTCTCTCTCTCTCTCTCTCTCTCTCTCTCTCTCGTACAACATTGTATTTGCTATTAAATCAAAGCTTTACCTTCAGCCCCTTATGCAATATCTCAAGCATCGAAATCTGAATCTTCTACAGCAATACCAACCCCGAGGCAATTGGTTACCCATGACGCTGATCTCATCGCATTTGACATTGTTCTCACCCATGTTAAATGCGAGAATGAGCACAAACAGAGTTATAATCTTAACGAACCTCATCTAGGGAACAGATAATATGGATAATAACGTAGACTCCTGTAATGAAAAATGAAGAAAGTCCTAAATAAGCAAACCATTATGACTTTTTTGCTTTAAATAGATATTTTGTCTCAGCTACGATAAGGAAAACCTGCGTTGATTAAGTAATGCAACGCATGGTTAATATAATTAATTGTAAGGTCATTGAAAAAAATCCACAAGTGACAAAAACTAGTTTAATCAGACGAAGATGCATATTTATGAATTCAAATATATATCTACAATATCATTTTTAATGCATAATCTCGATTCAATAAATTCGATAGCAATATCGCCAAGTAGTCTATTGACGTTTTTCATACGAGATAAGCTATTTATTCTAAGCCAGAAAAAATGGTCCAGAGGTGTGAATCCAATTTTTAATAACTACAAAATCGTTTGATTAAAAAAGAAATTTCAAATCCAATAAAAAAAACTAAAAGTACTGTAAACTTTCATTAGCATGCGATAAATTTTTGAGAAGTTCGCAAGAGCCTCGTCATTGCGATTACTTCTCACGGCGAACCGGTCATTCAATTATACGTGTCTGTTAACAACAGAACCTAAAGAGGCTTAATCGCGAAAATTAATAGCCATGAACTAGTTTACTCCCGGTAAATCATAAAATAAAGTCGTCGCGAATAAAAATTGGTTTACATTATTTTTTTTATTTATTTAAACAATTGTAAACTTAAGATTATAAATACATATTCATTGAGAGGCTGCACATCGACACGAAATGTAAAGAAGAACACGATAATAGTTTTTCCAACTAAACTCTAAAGTTCAAGATCATAGACTATACTGTTTGAGCTGTAATATGAAATGTATTTTGCTTTTAACGTGAATGCTTTTGAAATTCATGGAAGCTGATTCGGAACTGAATTCTATAATGTTTATTCATTCAGAATTTAAATTATGTTTAGCCATGTTGGACGTTTAGTCATTTTACATATTATCTGCAAAATTAAGTGTTCTGAAAGAAAGATAAACTTATATAAGCAACTTTAAGTACTTGATTTTAACCTCTTTTACTCTGTATTAAAAATGTTTTGAAATTATGTCTAGTTTATGCCTTTACATTAGAATTATTTTCTACACTCCGTTTAACAACCTCATTTTTTAGTTACAATTACACGGTACATACTGTTACATACGTGACGTAATTGTTACTGAGTATTGCCAAAGTATATTCATTATACATGAATACACTTCCTTTATTACAGAGGTTTTTAAAAGAAATACATATTTAAGAAATACTTAGATCACATTTCCGACTACCATTCTTGCCATAGCTGAGTTCAATGCAGATGATGTTTTCAGAAACAAACTTTATCCCAGATTAAAGATGTAAATTTAAAATAAAATTCCGTACCTTAATGTTTTTGTAGCCTCGCAATCGATTAAATTTAAAGAGAATAACACTACAAATGAAAACTTGAAACAGATTATGTAAAGAGGAACATCGTTAGATGGATTACTAACGTGGCACGTGCATGAGATTTATTTGATAAATATAAATTGAGATAACAACTGACAATGATGGATATCATATTCAAATTTTTGCCATACAAGAAAAAAGACAATATTTGACAACAGGAATAACATATATGCTTTTGAAAAAAAAAGAAAAAAACCCAGATACGTCATAAATGCAACATGTTGTACAAGGTTAGTCAAAAAGAATAAAAAGCTGGATTTTTCGAATTTCATACAATACATCATTTATAGTATTTCCCTGTGGTAAATTGATCAATCAACAATATATTACATCAATATTATTCGCTTCTCCAAATTCGGTTGTTTTATTTTTAGGTAACCATAGACGAAAATAAGAATTGAGCAACGTCCGCATTATGATCATGCCGTGTTTTCTCTTGAATACGAGGGTTGTTCCGTAAAATCGTGGACAAAGCGTTTTTCTCGAAAAGTAATAGGCGCACTTAGCTGAAAATTTCAGTAAATGTTTATGTATCATATTTAAGTGCTTGATAATTTTTTTGACAAAATATAGGCAAAAATAAAGGTTTTATTATGCTTGAATGTGCACGGGGTAGTGTCCTACGGCGCACGGACAAGAAACCAAGGTTTTATCAAAGAATACACAAGTTTGAATTCAAAATTAAAGTTTTAAATACATAAGACTTGGATTAAAATTATCCAAATTCAATTCCACAATCAATTTTTAGTCTTTGTAAAAATTTTAAGGCATTTGGTAAATTTTTGGCAGTTTCTCGAGCATTCGAAATGGGAACATGGTAAACAGAACACACGAAAAATGGCGACGTTTTATGACGTTACGGCGCATCGGAGAGCAGCTCTGTTTTAATTCGATGTTGTAATGACACCTTTAGAGACTTGAAATGACCATAGAAGAAAAAAAGATTATAAAAATATCACCATATCTTAAGTATGCAAATGAAAAAGGAGTTTTCTTAGCGAAGTCTTTTTGATCGAGTCCCTTGGGAGTACAAAACAAACGGACAAACTCCTAATGCAAAAGACGCTGTCACAGTAGACCGCCGACATGAGATTTTCTATTACTTGAATGATGGTGAGAATAGTGTCCGTAACTTACTGATAAATCTTCAGAAGATCGCATAAGGGTGCCAATTGGTTCTTCGACTGTTTATTGAGACTAAAGAATGTGTATCAATGAAATTCCTTAATTTAAGTCGGACTCATCCAACTTCATTTTCAGCAAAGATAAAACGTGACGCTGTTTTAGACACTTTGACGTTATAATCCATGCGCCGTAGGGTGATACAATACATGGCATAATATCTCATAATTTGTTTATTTATGCATATATTTATCTGAAATTTGCTGTGTATATTACTAAAATATGTACTAAATAATAGTGAAAATTTCAGAACGCAGTGATGTTTATTTTTTACACTAGACAACTTGTCCACGATTTTACGGGACAACCCTCATATAAATCCTCAATTATTTAAAAAGAAGCTGATTCGTTGTTCTTTGTCAGTACAATATCCAAATTTAAATGAAAAACAGATTAAAAGTAATGTTCGCTGTAGTTTCTCTAAGGTAGTTTTTAATATCATTAACTTTTTGCGATAAATGGTTTTAAATCCAATAATTGTCTATAGCAGTCAGTATTTCCAAGTCCTGTTGGCGAGTTATGTTTGCTTTCTTCTGGCCCTTTGAGGTAAGCAAAGTCATTTTCATTTTCCTTTCATTCATCAGTATTTAATGACTAATAAATACGAGTATGTTCATGATTTTCGCCTTTCAGAATCTATAATGTGTAACTTGTTTTTTTTAAGCTTATTCCGTTCATAAAAAGTTATGCTAGTAGATAAAAAATATCTTTTCTGCTTCCAAGAGGATTGTTTAATCTAATTTATTTAAAAGTACTTCGATAAAATATCTAAATAAATTTCAATTGTTTCCATTGTTCATATAAGTCAATTTCTTCGCCTGTCTTAAGTATGGAATAGGAACCTAACACTAATGTATTATTTTTTCCCTGAGGATTCAAAAAAAAAAACCCGTTGTTCCCCTTTACTTCCCCTGACATTTTCTTGTTTCTCCCTGACTTTATCCTATGAACCCTTGTCGCTGTCCCCGACAACCCTGTCTATTCCCTGACATCTCCTGACTTTGTCCCTGAGAACACTGTGTACTCCCTGACGTTCCGTGACGTCCCTGTGAATTCTCTGATGTCCCCTGACTAAGTACTTGAAGACCCTGTCCTCCCCTGACATTTCTCTTGGTCCAGAAAAGGATTTAAACTATTCTCTTTTTGCTGTTTAAGGGTGAGAAATACCATAGTCTTTAAAATTCAAATGTTCTGTAAAAAAAGAACTTTTTTTTGTTCTTATTGTCCAGTGAAAAGACAATGACCTTTAATTGACCTTGCCTCTAATATAAAACGGTCGGGTTTCATCTAACTAAAACCATAATTAAGTGATATTGTTGTCTTCTTGATTTTGTGGAAATTTCCTTAATTCTTCAATGCAAGAAATATAAAAAGAATCCTTTCTTAAGAAATTAATTTAAAAAAAGGACCTATAATAATTTGTTTTTATTATTTCTCTTAATAAACAATTACTGAATACTATAATTTATAAATGATTTATTTCTCTTAATTGTATCCATCGATGAGAGATGCATGTAGGTGTTCTGGAAAAGGCCCCTAGGATGAAAAAAAAAAACATTTTAAAAAATTAAATTTGTTTGAATATCATTTAAATTATGATATGCATTTCTAGTGTAAGCAATTTCTACGTCAGTAAGTTAACAGTTAAGATTTTAAGGTCAAGAACTAGTCAATAAAATTCCTAGAATTCCAAAATTTTCAGAAATATATGCTTTTAATGAAATTTAGTAATTACACTTTCATGAGTAAGGGTGTATCGGAGCATTATTAAAAATTAGAAATTACAAAGATAACATTTTAAACTTTCATTTTCAAATACAAATGAAGAAAACCACTTGTAAGTATGAGAATTTCCCCTTACCAGGCAAAAAAAAGATTTCCAGATTGCCAGACTGACAGTCATTTAGAAAAGGTAATTTGTTACATGTCTTAATATTTTCTTAACAATGATATTTAATTAAAAAAAATAACAGGATATTTTACACTATATCAAATGGAATTCAGTGAAAAAGTCTTGTTTTTCCTCATATTTCAATTATACCCGTAAATACCTAAAACAGTTAGTCTTCATTTATTATGACGTTTTATTATGATCTTCTAGTGCATCTAGCAAAATGTTCAATCATTTGCTAATCTGACCTTAAAATATTTTCTATATGGGAAAAGACTATACCAGATTTTTCCTTAAACCTGATTTTTAAATATTCTCAGTTTCAGCTAAAGTGGAATTTTAAAATTTGAGATCCTTTAGAAAAAGATATTCTGAACTCTCTCTCTCTCTCTCTCTCTCTCTCTCTCTCTCTCTGTTTATCATTTTATCATGATACATTACAACAAATTATAGTACGTATCAAAACATTACCCCCCTTTCAGTTCTAGATCTCGGTACTCTCCGGTCCCCACCAACCGTACACCATTGCAAACAAAACAATGCAACCCCCCCCCCCCGACAACAATACTGGACTGCAGGCGGTCTCAGATCTATGATACCCCGATTTCCTGTCATATGTGCTTCAATGACTATGAGTACTTAAGTCAGCACAAACAGAGTGACGAAATGCATGCATTTCATCTGCATAAATAAAATTGAGAATGGTATGAAAGAAATGAAATTGAAACGTTTAGGTGCAATGAAATAAATTGTGAACACTACTCGTACAACAACTAGTCACTATCTCGTATGCATTAATTAAATCTAAGAAGCCCTCTTGGCAACAATGTTAAAAGATGTACTGGCGTTGAATTTTGTGCTTTGTGCAGACAAAAAGACATAGCTAATCTGACGATTCAGACAATGAGAAAAATGACAAAATGAAACATATTGGTAATGAAAAAAGTAAAGCTTGCTCAAACTAAAGTTCAATTTTCTAATTACGTCAAGTAAATATAGGTTTTACTTAAATAATTAAATTATTTAACAGTTAATTAACTGTAATTTACATGATCGCACAATTCCATGCTCTGAATTCAATTATTTAACAAACATCAGAGTTCAATGAATAATATAGTTAATTTAATAACCCTGTTTTCAAAAACAGGTTGTCCCTACAATGATGTCGAATGTTGACTGACAATTTTAATGCATATCCTAACATTTACCATCTTTTTTTCGTATAGAGTTATCTTTGATGACTGCGTTTTCTGTCCCAAAACTGGAAACTCAGGGCAGATGTGACAGATAAATATGAGGATACTTACTCCTCCATGGCATCTGATCCCAACTCTGAAACTTTCGGTTGTTCATTTTGCTCTGTTCTATACATGAACTGATTGATTGTGATTCTTCGCTTTATTACTGTTCGTAATCTTCATTTAACATATGTTAATTTCATAAAAGATATTTTAATTCAACCATACATTGTAAAAATAGTAATTGAGAAAACACACTGAAAAGTGCTCTATAGCGGATGAAATGATATTAAGTTTGGCGTGGACTTATGCAAAACTGAGATTTAGATATATCCGAGGGTTGTCCTAAAAAAGTGGTAGACAGGTAAAACAGTTTAGTTTCTCTTTGCTTAATTTAATTTCTTTCCTTGTCATATCAAAAAGTAACATATTATGATCATGCATTTCAAGTTTCATTATGATATCACATCTAATAAGAAAATGATGTAAAAATAAAGAAAGCATGTATGTGTACACCGGCGCACGAAAGCAAGCGTAAATTACGTCTCTTATAACGTCATGATCTCTTTGTCTGCTTCGCTCGCGTCTATTAACATTTAATATTTGTTTTAAAGTGATAGACCACTTTGACTAATGGATTGTTTAAGCTCATTACTGTCTGTTTGTTTTTTTTTTGTTTTTTAAGCAGATTCAAATTTCAGATGAAATTTAGTTGAAAGATCGTCTTAAATTGTAGACAGCAGATCTAGAGAATACACATTGTTTGACGTCGTTCACGGCCCAGATTGTTTACAATTGTCTTCATTTCACTACTCTACTTCTTACATGCCGTATCTATTTTCTGTATGGGGGAAAACTCTCATCGAATACCGTGCCATTTAAAAATAATTTCTCTATTCAAATCTGGCGGGTAATGTCACTTATGTACTCTTTTTTCCCGTCTCTGCTGTTTATAAATCATATACAACACAATTTATTACATCTCCGTGCGCCGGTTACGTGTTTGACTACGTCATTTTCATCAAGCTC